CGTGTCACGTGGTATGTTGAATGCAGCACTGGATCAAATTAGATGTTTGTGAAGTCAAAATACTAAGTATATAGTTGTGTATGAATTAGAAACTCAAATTATTAATATTGACAAGCTAGGATTTAAAGTAAGAAGGTCTTATCTTTTCTGTTTGCTGAGATATTGCTCATTTAATAAACCAAACACGGTGGTACCCCACCCACCTTTTTTGATTTTTGGAAATGCTACTTATATACACTTACTACTATATATGACATGAATAACCAATTGGAAGCTCAGAATGTCCCCATAGTGGCTTTTTAGTCAGTATAATGAAAATAATAAATATATATAAATGTATGATGTTATGAGATTTATGCTATTTAGTTTAAACACTTATGTTTTCGTGTTTTAATTTGTGTTCATTCTAGAATGAAAGAGGCATAATTTACATATTTCCTAATTTTATGGTGGTTACGAGATCAGTCAAATACAGACATTAATTACTGAAAATAACAGATAAAATATAAAGTTTTTTTCTTTAGAAATAACTGATGACTATCTGGAAATTATAAAGATTTCGCATGTGAAATTTGAAAATTTTCTGATGCATACAAATATTTTTAATCTTGAAATGAAAATTACTTTGCATGATAGATAGGCAACATGTGAAAAGAAAAAAAGGCGTGAGAAAAATATTGCTTTACGAACCTTGAGACATAACAAAATTTGATATTTTGTATATGAAAGCATTGTAATGTTTACTGATAATCTGCCAAATTTCATTAACATTCGCATACTAATTTAAAAGTTATTGCATGAAAACTATAACAAGCACAAAATGATTACAAGGTCGGTCCCAGGGACGAGCCTGGGACGAAAGAATTAAGAGAATACTTTTTTATTATTCTTTGTAATTAGTTCATGAATTATAAAGGTTCTTCAAAAACTTGACTTACACTTTCAGAAATAATGGTAAAGAAAAGTTATTCATACTTCAACCTGACTTAAAACATTATAAAGATGCAATTTAATACAATTAAACTAGAATCTAAATGTTGTGCCTTACAATTCTGCATTTAGTGTATAGTATATAGTTAAAAGCTTCAGCCACTGGTGCAGAATCAATGGCAGTGCTAATAGTGAACAGTCATAAAGAGCAAAAGGAAACCTACGTACAACAGACATGTATATATAGATATTTTTATCAAATGTTCGTTCCTTAATTTACTCCAAAGTCAGAAAACATGATCTACATTTACTGATATCTGTTATTGTAAAAAAAAAAAGTTTCATTACTCACAGGTGGTACATCAAAGAAGAAAATATCTGGACCTTTGAAGGCCAGAAACCGAGCCTGCCATTTGTACCAAGGTTGTGCTGCAATGGTGCCCTCACTGACCCATCCCATGTGATGTACCTGTAGATTGAGAGAAATATATCAATAAATACACACTTTTTTTTAAGTTTATACAACAATTAGGATAATCAAAGTTTTATTCAAAGTGTAGTTAAATGCTGATTCTTGTAAATGCAAATCTCTTTAGAAAAATTAAAATCTTTTACAAAAAGTTTAGTTCTTTAGACTTCCTAGATTTTTCATCAATTCAAACTCAACAGTCTAAAAAAAAACTCTTTCAAAAATACATTAAGCTGTCATATATAAGTTGTTCCAAAAGTCTAATGAAACTTTCTACAGTATTTGCTCAAAGTGTAGTTCTTTGATATCACAAACACACACTGAAGCCCACAAATTACAACATCATAACTGGTACTTTTTACCTAACCAGCAAACAGGGACAACACATCAAGGAGATGGTGTAGAGCAGACTTTTGGATATCCAGTAAACTGTGGTGTGCCTGATGACATGAATAGACATTACACAAAAGATTTCTTAACAATTCATGCTCGGATACTCAACAGCAATTATTTCACCCAAATAATGTAAATGTATTCAATACACTGAAGGATTTATCAAGTCCACAGGGAATTTCCTCCAGTGTCATTTGATTTGGTGATAATAAAGTCCAAACCTACATTGAAACATTAAAATGCAAAACACATTTTTTTCCCTTACAAAACACTAATATTTCAGAGCAAAATATATTTCAACAATATTTTTTGTTTATTAAAAATGGAACTACCAGGTATTAGTGATATTTTTTATCAAGAAAAAGTTTCTTCCACACATTTCTTTTTCAAGCAAAATATAAATGGCATACTGAAGCTCTTAATATAGTAAAAATTAAATGTTTTGTAAACTGATGTGAAGAGAAAAAAAAAAAGAATTAAAAGTTTGTTTGTTTTGAATTTCGTGCAAAGCTATACGAGGGATATCTGCACTAGCCATTCCTATTTTAACAGTGTGGGACTAGAGGGAAGGCAGCTAGTCATCACCACCCACCACCAACTCTTGACTACTCTTTTGCCAACGAATAGTGGGATTGACCGTCACATTATAATACCCTCACGGCTGAAAGGAGTGAGCATGTTTGGTGTGATGGAGATTCAAACCTGCGACCCACAGATTTGGAGTCGAGCTCCCTAACCACTTGGCCATGCCGGGCCTAAGAGTTAAAAGCCTGAAGCAATTTAATCATTAGGGAGAAAGTAGATATAAAATAATTATGAGGTAGTTTCATTTGGAATATGTATAAGAATAACTTAGCATTATTTCCATGAGACGATTTACCAATGAAAAGGAAGAACATTAAGTGATTAAAAATACTTTACATTAGTAAACTGGAGTAAATATTAAGTCACATACAAAATTACAAGAGCATCTTTTGGAAGAGTTGATAGTTTTAATGTTACAGTAACTTTATACAATCTATGCAGTCTGTTTTCCAAATGTCCCTTTCTAGAAACAAAGAAAAAGGTATTTCAACTGAAGAATATCTTCACTTTATTTTAAATTATAAACACAACATATGGTACACTTGTTGAAAAAACAATTGTACAATACATGTGAGAACTATAAGCCACTAAACAGTGGACACCCTCATAATGACAGACAATGTTTAAACCATGTTGTTTATCTTAAATAAAATTATCCTATTTATTGTGAAACTTTGTTTTTCTCTCAACACATCAATTACCAATGAATCGATAAATCCATAAGCCAACTTCTGTGACGTCTACAGTTATGAAAAGCCAATTCATCATCCTTATTAAGTTGTAGAGTTATGATAATCATTGATCAGAATGATGTAATATTTGCCTTAATTGACAGAATAGCAATAAAATAATTAAAGTTAACAATCTCTCTATAAATTGTTGACTTTATTTTTTAATCAGAAGTTTTAAAATATTTTAAATTTAGACAACGGCTATATTTTAATAGCATGAGCCCCGTAAATTAGGACATCTAGTATAAACATCACTTGATCAGTGTGCAATAAGCAATTTTTATTTCAATCTGAAACATACGTATATATATTCGTAGTTTAAGAAAAATGTTGAATTAAAAATTTTCCATCCTGCAAGAAATTACAGTGTGTATGTAGTAATTAACCACAAAATAATGTATGTGATCTTGGCTGTTGTAATTAACCACAAAATAACGTATGTGATCTTGGCTATAATCATGCAACTTTAATTAATTAATTTCCCTTTTCCAAAAACTTCTTTTGTGAGTAAATTCTTTGGGCATAGAATTAAAAACTTTCATAGTTTTATAAATCTGAGTACAAAATTCCAATCAAATACTGATAGTGAATCAGAATTATCTACAGTCTTCGTTCTCTATATAGATAGTTGACAACATAATTTACACAACATGTGTTCGTTTAGTGCATCATTATCAGATATGATGATTTATTTCTGATCATTCAAACTAAACTATTAATTTATCAATCTGTTCTTGATGCTAATTCTAAGAATTCCACTGGAATCTAATGATGGTAAGGATTTATAAATTGTAGATGAAGCAGTTTTGTTTTCACTTTTTAATTCTTTTTTAAAAAGTTAGGGTGTCTTATGTTTGTTTGTTTGTTATGGATTTCGTACAAATCTACAAGAGGGCTATCAGTGCTAGCCATCCCTAATTTAGCAGTGTAAGACTAGAGGGAAGGCAGCTAGTCATCACCACCCACTGCCAACTTTTGAACTACTCTTTTACCAACGAATAGTGGGATTGACCATCACTTATAATGCCCCCATGGCTGAAAGGGCGAACATGTTTGGTGGGACGGGGATTCAAACCCGTGACTCGCAGATTGCAAGTCGAGCACCCTAACCACCTGGCGTGGGTGTCTTATGATACAAAACATACATACAAGTTATCTTTATTTTTACAAACCTGATCATTTGGTGAAAGAGATTTGTTTAGCACCTTCATCTGAAAAAAAAAAAAATGGAACAGCTAAATTTCACTAAACAATGACATTTTAAAGCATATATTACATTGTTATTTCTTATATGACAGATGTTTCTACAATTCATTCAGAATATTATTATACATAGAATAATTAAAATAAATAACAGAACTGTTTGATTTTGCACTCAGAAAATGGACTTAGTTATCCAGGTTTTGGGAAATAGTACCATAGTCTACCTTAAGACTGTCATGGCTTCAAAGACAAAGAAAAGCTTATAGGTTTATTTCAAGCTATGACAGCTACATTGCTGTAAGAAGCAATTTTTGAGTGATCAGGTCAATGTCACATTGCCATTTCTAGGCAATTTCTTAAAGGCATTTCTTAAAATTTTTTAAGTTTAATTGCAATGAAATTCAATCTTGAGCCACTTTAACTACAAATACTGTATACACATAATGTAATGTACTGAATTAAAAGAAGTAAGTTTTAATACATAAGTTATAGCTATACATGCCATGAAAAAGTGGTCAGTCCATACTGATTCCTATGGCTCTGAGCCACATTTCACAAATTAATAAGATAAAAGATTCCAATGCTTGCCATGGAACTCTACACTAGTTGAACACTAATTTTCCACAGATATTAAAAGATATGAAAGGTCTTCATACGTACTAATTTAAAGCATGTAATCTTTATGTGGAAATAGCAGTTAGAATAGGAGACATGTGCTAGCATCCTTACTGTGCCACTTAGGAAATTCATCTTAAAGAAGATTCTTGGGTTTGTTGCATGACAATTAATGCTGATGCATGTAGTCTCTATGATGTCAATTCCTCTCTCAGTAGTATTTTACTTAACATAATGTTTAAGGACAACAAGGGATCTATTGGCCCATCCAGGCTGTTCCATCCTCTAAACTAAACTAATAAATAAATAAACCTCAAAATCATTCATATAGTTATCAAACTTTCTCTTACACTCACTTAAATGTACTACTTCCAAAGGCCAACCACCCTGTTAGAAAAAGAAATATCTCAGCTGAAGATGATTCTTACCTTGCCAAAATTTATATTTGTGTCCCCTAGTCCTATCATTCTCACTATTAAGTAAGAAAAAAGATGATGCATCAATACCCTTAACAATCTTAAACACTTTAATCAGATCCCCTTCTAACTCTTCTTTTTTCAAGAGAAAACAATTTCAGATATCTTAACCTCTCTTTGTATGACAAACCTTCCATCCCAGGCACCATTCTAGTAACCCTCCTCTGAACCCTTTCCAACAATTCAATGCCTTTCCTAAGGTAAGGAGCCCAAGACTGAACACAATACTCCAATTGTGGCCTATCCAGTGACCTGTACAATGAAATTATAATATTTTTTAAAAGTTGTATTCAGTATTTCTGTAGATACAACCTAAAATCCTAATTGTCCTACCTCTAGCAAAAGCACACTGCTTGGATCACTTAAGAGACTATTCAACCACTACACCAAATTGGTTCTTTCATGACACTGTTAAGGTTATTCCCATCCAAATTATACTTATAATTCAAATTATGATAACCCATATGCATTATCTTGCATTTATTATAATTAAATATAATTATTACAGTATTCATTATTACCTCACATTCTGTTTAATCTTTAAGAACTCACAGTGCATATACTTAGAACATGGTATACACTTTGTAGGAAGAGGTAGCAGAAAAAGTGGTGGAGTTACGGATGCTTTCTGATACCCACTTTCAACACACAGCTCTTAATGTCCTTCCACAGTTTTACATGGTTAATTAATTGATGGTCATTGCCCGCAGAAGTGTCTTACAGGCCGAAGTCGAGACGTCACGGGTCAAAGTAGAAAGTGGGTATAACTCAAGAAAGGGCTCTTCGTATCAGCCTTATGATGGAACAGAAAATTCAGCTGAGTTTATGTATTACGGCAATAGTAATGGCCATTTTTCTTCATTACATTCCTCCACAGAGAATGCTAGCACATTCTCTGAGATATATAAGATGTTTGTGTGCCCTCCTCCCACACTTTGTGTTGTGTTATAGAAAATTAATACTATTTTTGTGTGTGTAAGGACGTGACACCATCTATGAATGTAGTTAACGTTAACTTATGCCAAACAAAATAAATGCTAAATAACAGCAATAATGGGAATTGTTAATCCACCATTAACACGTCCCTTGCTCCAAAGTATCATCCTGCAAAGTTTGGTTGAGATTGACCCAGCGACCTAGGAGTAGTTAGATAATGGACAGACACAGGTTTTTTTGTGCTTTATATATATGTTTATCTTGAATATTTAAGAATTTATCTTTAAAATTTTCCACATCTGATCAGTGTCTAAATAACTCAGCAACTCAATTCACAATGGATAATTGTTGTCACATCCGTTCAAAATTTGTATTTTTTTTAATTTCTAACCAAAATATCTATGCAGCAAAACATCAAACCTAATACAACAATAATCACTTGCACCCAGATGTTCCCCAATTTCCACCCTCTCAACCATTTCTATATTAGATGTTAACAATAAATCTAAAATAGCATAGGTTTCTTTCTCCCTCATGGTTTGACTCTAACATTTCCCAATCTGTATGCCTGAAACTAAAATCACCATAACTATGAACACATTAACAGCTGAATTCTTAATCTCACTGTAAAGAGTTTCTCAATAATTTCATCAGTATCATTTGAGGGTCTGTAACAAATTCTCACTAAAAGCCTTTTCCTTTTATATCTGCTGATACAAACCTAAATTGATTCAATCTCCTTGCTATTATCTTTGATATCCTCAACTTCAACAGGATGTAACACACATTTTACATATAAATCCACTTCTCCCCCTTTCTTTAATACTCTATCCCTATTAAATAGCCTGTAACCCTGTATTTAAAAGAAATTTCTGTTATCAAAATCATCTACGTTTAACCATGTTTCAGTTATTCCCATTATATCAAAATCCTCTATTCCTACCAGTGCTCTAAAGTCATCTATTTTATTTCTTAAACTTCTAGCATTACAATAGTAACAATTAAGCCTATCATTATAACTACTTCTATACTCATTTCCTATGCTAAACTTTTTTCTACATCTTATTTTTTGCATTTAGTTTATTCTGGCCCTCACTACCATCTAGTCCTAGTTTCAAACTCCCCTTACAGCTGAGTTAATAGTCATTGCAGACAAGCCAGCCCCTACCCTATTTAAATGTACACCATCCATTCCAAAAGGCACCCTTCTCCCATTAAACTAATCTCACAAGTCCAACTAGACAATCTGCTCATCCTTACATACTAACCTAAACCTAGCATTTAGCCTTAATGACCTACTTATAACTTCATCCCTACAGTTATTTCTGGGCAGTATCCTGGACACAATTAAGTCATGGCCCCTTTTCTTTAGATGCCCTTATCAACCCCTTGTACTTATTACTAAGCTCCTCTGATCTACCTTTCCCTACATCATTAGACCCTACATGAATCACAAAAACTGCATCTCTGCTAGTCCCCTGCTCTATCAGTTATATCCTCCACCTCTGCCCCTGGGTAGCATAATCTAATTATTTTCTCCCTATTTACCACACAACAGAAAACATGAAATAAACACATTTGTTGAAATTTTGGTATTTAAGTACCATAGTTGAACCACAGAAACCTTTAATGTAACTGTTATTTGGCATTTTAAGTGTTTGCTCAGACACTAAATGATGTTTTTCACAATAAATAGGGAATTCTACCTGTTGAGCTGTAAGCTGGATGATGTTGTTTGACATGTGTTTAATCCATTCGGCCAGCATGCCAGAATCATCACACTGGACTACTGCTGATGGTTTGCCTTCCTGTGCTCTTATTTCAAAGGCATTTGGTCTAAATGAAATACATGACAAAATTACCAAGTTACAAAAAAACTGAAGACTAGTATAGAAAAACAAAAACACAACTTCCAAATAAAGCTTTCCTCTAAAAAGCTCTATTAAGTACTTTTACAATAAGTTAATAACACCTTACATCTGAATACAAATGTTTCTTTTTTTACACAGTCCTCGAGTTTAATGATATTAAGTGCCCATAGTACGTCTTGCATTTTGTTATGTCTTAGACTTAGAGAAATGAATGTAATTAGTTCTGTTTTATAATAACACAAAGTGCATAAACATTCATGCAAATCTATCCTTCTCGAATATTTACAAAGTGAGTAAACTAATTAAAATAATAAACAGTCAATTACCAACATTTAATGATCTGTAGAAGTTTAATTACAGAAAGAAACAATCGTGTAGTTACTGTCTGCTGTTATAAGTATCATGTAAAAGGATTCCTATCCACACCTAACCTTTTCACTAAACTAATTTTTCTTTGAAAAAGTTTTGTAGCTAGAAGTTTGAATTGTTTGTGTAAACAAAACCCACAAGAAGCTATCTCAGATACAAAACTACAATCAATCAACCTACGTGGGCTGATGAAAGCAAATATACTTATAAACTGAAGTTTTTAGTTAGACATAACATGGGTATCCAATATTAAGTATATGACTGTCCAGTTTTTCAAGACTCACATTTGTAAAGTACTTTATTTAGTTGCATATGCAAAATATAATGACTGTGCTACGTGTCAGTGATTGCCAGAATCTTATAAATAAGACTTACTAATATCACATATATTTTAGATGACAGTGGGTAAAAATAAAGATCTCTTAGACTTTCAAAGGGGCTTGATAATGGGGCCCATCTAGCAGAAACAGTTATTAAGGAACAATGGAAGGTATGTGATGTGGTTTGATACATTGTACTTTACTTTATCTTTGCTGATGGTAAAAATGTGAAGTAATCCACAGTAGACACTGTACCCTGCTTGTCTTATTCATTCCAATGGTGTAAGTTAGAGGGAGTGATGTAACAATGTGTGAATTTTTATCAGTTTTGATTGACAATATCTCTAAAACTAGAATTCATTTAGCATCATACTTTTCTACCATACATCTACAACACAGAATGTTTACACATACCTTAATTTGTCAGTGTCTAGCATGTACCTCGTCAAATATGCCATTAAAAGAGGAATAGTCGTGACATCGACCCATCTCCTATCTGATCGAAAAATGAAACTTTCCTCATTTGCTGTTGGTGTTTTGGCTGACTGTAACAAAATTGAGAAATTACTTTTAATTTTAATCAGCATGCAAAATGCTAATGTTTCAGCTTACAAAAAAAGGTAATTTCAGGTCTGATACAAAAATGAAGTTTGTTTTATATTGTACCATTTTAATGATCATTACTTTTTAGTTTTGGATGTTGCTTAATAAGGAAGTATGCAATAAAGTATTTATCCTTTTTGCATCTAAAAAAAAAGGTTTTTAAATCCCTCACATTGAATTATTCCTGTAAACTGGAACTGCAAACAGCCACCTTTCCAGAAGGACAAAATAAATGCAACGTATTTCGTGTTTTCTTAATAAATTTGAATTCATATCCTATATATTTTGTATTGGGAATTAAAAGGTATATATCACTGCTTTTAGAAAAACATTCTGGTTTATCTATGTTTTCATTCTTTCTTTATTTTTTTAGTTTCTATTTTATTGAGTTTTTAATGGCTCAAAATCTTTTTAAGTTGCCTAATTCTTTTCACTTTTCTTATTAGTCCTTAGTTTTAAAAGTCAACTGTGCTGATTCACCAGCAAACCTGTTTTCATGAAATGTATTTACAAATTTTAATGAATTGCAATCTATTTACTTATTATACAATATGACTATATTTGTTCTTTTTGCTACTCCACAGCCAACTCATTATAGTGTTAAATATTTGAAAACTTTTTATGTTCTACATTAAATGTCAGCAGTTATTATCAGACAGATAGTTGAGATATGGCATGCACACGTATCAAGGAGATTTTAAGTAGTTAACTTTTTACGTATACATTTTTTTAATATCAATAAAAAGATGTGTTTTCACTTCAATTTATATTAATCAATCAATAATGTAAAAGGCATATTATTGATGAAATATGATTCATCTCACTGTTTCTAAGTCTTAACTAAAATCTCTTATTTCTAATAGATTCTTTCAGAATTACTAAAATGCAAGATTAGAGCTTATTATTTTGTCTTATAAGAGCTTCAGAAGGACAGATACAAAACTAGAATCATGATTTATATTTTACATGATATATTTGTGTATGTTTTTATCTTTTATTTTATTTATTACGTACTAATTCATAGTTACCTTCCATGCACGATGACCATCACCTACTTTATACGTGGGGGCTTCCTCTGCCACACAACGGTCTTTCCGTCTCTGCACTAAAAAGCAACATTATTTGTTATTAGCAGTATTTATTGATGTGAAACTACTTAACTGCTTCATACAACTGAATTCAATGGACGAGAAGTCCCACTACCTTGACGTGAATCTGGATTTACTGGATGAGTATTCCCACCACATTGTACTTACTCCCAGAGTTTCATGATAAGGTGGGAGGACTCTCACCGTGTGAATCCAAGGGTTTTTTACTGGATGAGTATTCCCACCACATTGTACTTACTAAACTGTTGGATTCACAGAATACATTGGTTTATTAAGTAAGTAGAATCTAAAAACTAGTTTATTGTCTCTTGGTGTTTTAAGTATTAACTTATTTACTTGAACATAGATCCATTAGTTTAAATTCAACTTATAGATATAGGTAAGTTATAATATAAATCAGGCTAAATACATTTTATTATTAATGTTACGTATATTGTTCTAATAAATTTATTAAATTCTATATATTTAAAGATGAACTTTATTGCTTTACTGTGAAGACAAAATAGTGATAAAAAAATAATTGGTTCTTAAACGTTAGGCTTAACAGTAACAGTGTCAACAACAAGCTGCTGATATTTGGTATTGAGCATTTATTTTCAGACTGTAAGTGTAAATACAGTGGTTAAGACTAGTGTAGGAGTTATGAGTTCACAGTTTGTTAGGTGTAATGAGTGGGTTTTAGTTGGCAACATGGGACTGGCATGTACTTTTAAGGAAGATAGTAATGATGATGTGCAATTTTTCTATAAAGTTTGTAGGTCGGAGGAGAAGTTGGAGGCAATCGTGATTAAAGTAGAGGTAATAGATAAAAAGAACTGTAGACTGTGAGAAATGGCAGCAGGATTTCATGAGGAGCTAAATTTTAAGTTCAAGGGAAACATCAGCTAACAATGACTTTCAGGAAGTTAGAAACAGTACTATTATGGTAAAAAGTAGTGAATTGTTTTATAATGAGCCTACTCTGTTGAGCAACAGATTTCAGCCCTTGGCTTCTGCAAATGAGGAACTATTGGAGGAAAGGAAAACAAAAAGGGTTAGAGAAAGATGTGGAAGATAAGGAGGTTATAGTTATAGGTGATTCCCTGACAAGAACCTACTAGAAACAATGCTATTTTAGATTTATTGTTGACTTCAAATATAGAAATCATCGAGAGGGTTGAAACTGGGGAACATCTGGGTGCAAGTGATCATTGCTCTTTTAAGTTCGATGTTTTGCTGCATATGGAGATAAGGAATAATGATATTTTGGTTACAAATTTCAAAAAAGTTAATTTTGAAGGGATGAGACAAGAATTATCTGTTGTGAATTGGGCAGCTGAGTTATTTGGAGACACTGATCAAATGTGGAAATTTTTTTAAAATTCAATGTAAAAATATTCCTTATAGAAAGAAATGGGTAGCTGCAAGTAAAAATCAGGTTGGCTCACAAAGAGGTTAAGAGATAAAATTAAAGAAAAGCATAATAAATTTATAAATTTAAATTGACCGGTATGTCAAGAGATTTAGAAAAATATAGAAGATCAAGAGAGGCCTGGCATGGCCTGGTGGTCAGGACGCTCGACTCGCACTCTGCGGGTCGCGGGTTTCGTGCCCCTATCCCACCAAACAC